GGGTTTACCTTAATACCTCCACCCGCCGAGGAATTATGCTGAGCACCGGGCGGAGCGTTGGACTTGGTGTTAGAAGTTGTGGCTGCACTCGGGTCTTCCACTGAAGAGCATGAGCTCTGGGGCCTGGCTGCTAGGGGTTGGGAGCCTGGCCGACGTATGCCTGCCTTTCCTTAGCTGTAAAATAGAGATCGTCGCGTGAAGCTGCTACGAGAATGAAATATCATAGCACAGTCTCTGCCTCTCAGCATGATTTTCTCATCTGTAGTGTTCTGGGTGGATTGCACAGTCTAAAAGTTTCCTACCAGATCTGACTTCTAGAGTATGAAAAATGATTTCTTTTTCAGTGTGTAAGTCCCATTATAGCTGTTGTTTGAACACAAGACCATGTGCCTAACAAATGTTTCCTTGTAATAGATATTCTGTAAGTAGATACATATTCTGTAATAGATACTCCGTAAATATTCACTAAAGGAATGAGTGGTGCCCTCTCAGTAATTGATAGTGTGTGCAGTTTGCTCTTTCTGATACTTACCGTAATTACAACAGAGCTAATTATTAAATATCCCAAATGAAGTCCTCAGCACTTCCAGGCCTAGAGTCTCAATTATACAATATGAGATGAAGGAAAAGCAAGAACAGTGATGTAATTTGTATTTTCAGTTATTTGCTCTATGAGCTTGTATGCAGAGACCCAGAGTAATTATTCTGATTTTAAAGTCTACTTTCTGACACAAGATGTGGAAAATAGTTCCAATAATTTTATTACTTTTGTAGCCCATCTTATCCCACATTGTCACCTGTTTGGAGTTAGTGACTTACTTGTTTATGGCCATTATTTCAATAAAAAGCTAAGTAGATGAAATTCATTTATTTGAATTTTCCTAGCATTTGGGTATTTACAAAATCCTGTCCTATTTTTGCATGTAAACTTGCCGCCCTTCCTTTTCGTGTGCCCTGCTCACCCTGCTTTTTTCCTACTCCGTTTTATTCCACTGTCCACTAAAAGTTCTTCTGAAATTTTTTTTCCTCTCTCCAAAAACAATTCCCTTGTTTCAAATTTTCAAAGAATTGTCCTCTTTCTTGGATCATTCGAATCTGGAAAAAATACTAAAGCGTCTCTTCATTTATATTTTTCTCATCCAGTATTATTGAATTGATTCACAAACTTGCCACTCCCTAGAGAGGAGCTCCTACTGTCAAAGCAATTTATGCTACAAAGTTAAAGCCAAGTAGTATTCACGCTGTGAAAGTAGAATGGCTAACCAAGTAAGGATAAACAAAAATATTTAATAAAGTAGTATGATTTGTCATTTCATTTTAATTTGGATGCCTTATGTAGTCACCAGTAAGAAAGTAGAATTTTTACATGGGAGTAAATACTAAAATGTAATGATAGTCTATTACCCAAATTTTGATTGTCTTTTGGAGTTATTTCTTTTGTTCCCATGAAGATATTATTTTGTCTCAGCCTTTTAATCCTTCAGAATTCTATATCCATTTGATAATGCCTAATAAAAACATATATTTCACATTATCACTTTTATTTTGTCATGACTCAACAGACAAAAACTCCATGGGTAAATTTGGTCAAAATTTGGGGATATTTATTAAGTTGAAACCCTGGGAATTATTAGAATTATTTTTCAAGTATTTTTCCCCCAGAATTGTCTTTCATATGTATTGGATACATTAAAAAAAAAAAAAAAAACTTTTTTTAATGTTTATTTATGAGAGAGAGAGAGAGAGACAGAGTGTGAGGGGGTGAGGGGCAGAGAAGGGAGACACAGAGTCCAAAACTGGTTCCAGGCTCTGAGCTGTCCCGACATGGGGCTCGAACTCACGAACAGCCAGATCATGACCTGAGCCGAAGTCCAACGCTTAACCAACTGAGCCACCCAGGCACCCCTGTACTGGATACATTGTTAATTTAAGCATGGATACAATTTTAGTGGGTTGAAGAGGTATTAAAGTTGAATAAACAAATGATCTAAGTTGGCTTTTATTTTTTTCTTCTACGCAGCAAATTCTGAGCTGAGGAGCTCTAGGAGGTGAAACTTCAGAAGAAGAGAGCAGACTTTTAAGAGTACATCTGGCTCATCACCATGAGGTTAGGAAAACCTAAGGGAGGTATTTCTCGGAGCTCAAGCCAAGGAAAAGCTTATGAGAACCCACGCAAAACAGGCCGGCAGCGGCAAAAATGGGGAATGACTGTTCGATTTGACTCAAGCTTGAGTAGACTGAGAAGAAGGTTGGATGAGAAGCCCTATAAATGTACTGAATGTGAAAAGAGTTTCAGTCAGAGCTCAACTCTTTTTCAACACCAGAAGATTCACACCGGAAAGAAATCCCATAAATGTGCCGATTGCGGGAAAAGTTTCTTTCAGAGCTCTAACCTCATTCAGCATCGGCGGATCCATACTGGGGAAAAGCCCTATAAATGTGATGAGTGTGGAGAAAGGTTTAAACAGAGTTCAAATCTCATTCAACACCAGAGAATTCATACTGGAGAAAAACCCTATCAGTGTGATGAGTGCGGCCGATGTTTCAGCCAGAGTTCCCACCTTATTCAACATCAGAGAACCCACACAGGGGAGAAGCCCTACCAGTGCAGTGAATGTGGCAAATGCTTCAGCCAGAGCTCTCATCTTAGGCAGCACATGAAGGTGCACAAAGAAGAGAAACCTCGTAAAACCCGGGGCAAAAATATTAGGGCAAAAACTCACTTAGTGTCATCTTGGAAAGCCGGTACAGGTAGGAAGTCAGTGGCTGGTCTCCGCTAAGTAAAGGGCACTGCTTCAGCCTTCTTTTAAATACAAAAATAAAAGCTGTCCCTTTTAGAACTGGAGATATTTTGTAATAGAGCACTTAAATACTGTATCCTTTCCTAGCATGGAGACATTGGGAGTTTAATGACCTTGGGCTGAGAAAAACTACAAGTCCAGCTGGTCTCATTTCTTTTTATGTAACTTGGAAGACAAAAACCCGAAACTCTGTTTTGAGAGAATATAAGATCCTTGACCTCATATGATAATTGCTTCCTGCATCATTTTGACAAAAATAACTATGTTTTAATGGCACGTGTGAAAGTGCAGGTATTCTAGTGACTCCTCAGTTTTAGGACTTCTGTGGAAGTAATTAAAAGGGAGAAGAAATTAATTCTGTTAGTGTGGAAGTTCTGCAGCTGATGAGGAGATTTTATGTTTGTAAAGTTTTGTAGTATATTAACCATTTGGTATGTAAGTATGACTCAAGACTCAACATATTAAAATGTATTCCTGTTCACTTAGCTTTTGTTTTTCCGTCCTGCTTATGGACACTTATTAATAAAAGGAATTGAATTTCCCTCTCTTTCACCCAATGCTTAATAAGAGATCCTCTAGAAGCCAAAGTGAGAACTGAAGTAGACCACAAGTCTCCTATTCCCACTAGCACAGTTCTTTGAGATGGTGTTACACTGTGCCACTTGTTTCTGAGAAGTTGGGGTGGCTTCATGTTCGCCCGTCCCCATGCCTTTGTCTTTCGGCATTCGCTTACCCTCTGACAAACTGAGCCAGCCTGTTAGATCTACATGAATAAATAATTAAACCATATCCTACCAGCACACTCAACTTGTTAATTAGAAATCTACAATTTACACGCTTCCCTGCTTTCCCCCTTTGAGAGTTTTAGGTAACACTGGTTATCTTAAACAAATGCTTGTCGACAGTGAAAGTCATTTGACTCCAGTGTCCGTGCATCTGTAGCTCAATGTGTAGATTTTGAAATGTAAGTTAACTTCCTCTGAGTCGATACGAATTATTTATGAAGTTGAGCAAACCTGTTACTTAACTTTCGTCAGGACAATGCCAAGTGTCAGACATTCTGATCAGCGTTCAGCTCAGGTTTTAATTTCTATTGAAAGCTAACATTCTTCTGATTTTTTTGTATCTTTTGTAATCATACCAGTTCCTGCTGTATTAATGACATCCATAAAAATAAAGAAAATGAAATATTTTACATACGACCGCCTTCTGTTTATTTTGCTCCTGGGAAATTGTTTCAATGATTTAGGCAACATGTAGAAATCCGAGCTTTTGGAAGAATCCCTGTTCTGCCTGTTTTTTATTTCCTCAAGCTTGAACTTGGCCTCCCTCCTGGCCTTGCATTTGAGTGCAAGTCATAGAAGATGCCTTATTGACAACAGTTTCATTCAACAGAACATCCACAGAGTGTTTGGTGAGTACCAGGTGATTGTAGTTATCTTTTACAAAAGACTCGATCCCTGATCATTTACTTAGCAAGTGTCCCCTGAATCACAGCCAAGTCACTTTGTAGTAGGGGCATGGCTCTGGGGCCATTCTGAGGCTCTGCCATGAGTGTTATTTATAGCAGTTTTGTGTCTGGAGTAACTTGTGTCTGGGACCAACACCACTTTCTTTAATGAATTTGCCAATTTTGACAGCAACCTGCAATAGAAAGACCTCTGTATATTGTTAGATTTCATAGTTTATATTTTTACCCTGAATAGACTTCCATATTCTGTAGAAAAGTAAAGCAAATCCTCTTCAGACTTTTGTGTATTCCCAGTTTGTGGTATGCATGTCTTCTCAGAGCCCTAAAAATGGAAGCAAATAGGTCAATAGCATGGTGGCCTTTCGTAGGACCTGACGTACAGGCGGCAGCCTTCATCTGCTTTTGTGACGTCTTACCAGAGAAGTATCACAGCTGCTTTAAATTGATTAAAGGATATGTTCCCCTGCTAGAAATTGAGTTATGGGAGAATGTAAATCTGACAGGCACTGCCTCTTTAAACACCGTCTCATGTGAAAATATGCTGCCCCTCAATATTCTGCTGAATCTCTACCTTCACTCACGTTTACTAAACCGAATCCTTTTATCCTTCTGGCAGGTTCTTTTCTTATACAGACTCTGGATGTTGTATTGGAGAAGAGGGGAAAAAAAGCTCCAAGGTGTTTTTTTAAAGTATTGTTGAAATTTCATTCGCCCTACACTAGTGAGTAAGCGGTGTTGTTCAATGTCTTTGCCTTCCACATTCATTTATTCAGTCATTTCATAACTGTGGTAGAAATAAAGCCGGTCGAGACACCCTTAGTTTAAAGGAACTTTGGTTAAACGAGTAGTTGGGTAGAGGAACTGGGAAACTAAACTAGGAGCACAAGCACAGGGTGCTGTTTGAGCATCAGGGCAGTTCCTCTGGCCCAGTGGTTCTCAGTTTCAAGGTGCATCAGAGTCACTTGGAGGGCTTGTTAAAACATTCCTCAGTCTGTTCCCAGAATTGCTTATCCAGTAGGTCTGGGTTGTAGCCAGATAATTTACATTTCTAACAGACTACCAGGTGATGCTGATATAGTGGTCTAGGACACTTTTTTTTTTTTAATGTATAAAATCATTTTATTTTTGAGAGAGAATGAGCCGGGGAGATGCAGAGAGGGGGACACAGAATCTGAAGCAGGCTCCATGCTGTCAGCACAGATGTGGGGCTCGAACCCATGAACCATGAGATCATGACCTGAGCCGAAGTCCTACAGACACTCAACCGACTGAGCCACCCAGGCACCCCAGTCTAGGACACACTTTGAGAACTACTATAACCCATTACTGGAGGGTAGTGATGTGCTCACATAAAATCCTAAGATACATAATACTTCATTGATAAGGATGGGCAGGATTTAATGATGAAGATGGCCCTGGGGTCTACCTACTTAGGTTTACATCTTAGTTACCTAGCAACTGGGCAGTTTGAATAATTGCCCTTGCCTAAATTGGAGAAGATGCCTATGGTTGAGTTGTGGATGGAATTAAATGAACAAATGCAGGCAGAGAGCTTAGCATGGTGCCTGGGACATTGTTTAGAATTTACTGATTAGCTTATTAGACTGCCAGAGACAGAGAAGCTATTCTATCCATCTGAAATTGTCAGTGGCAAAAGTATTACTCCCATAAATTTAAAGGTGAGTTCTCTTTTACTTTGATTGAGGCAAGACCCTGGGAGAGAAAGAGATGCCTAAAAAGGGCAAGGACCATCCAAGTTTCTAAGAGAAATTTTAGAATCCATTAATTTTTTGACAAGTAATGGGAGGACCTGTTCAAAATAGAAGTACATGGCCACAAACACAATGATTATACTCCATATTGGGGAAGGAGAAGCTTTCATGTTGTTGAGGAAACAAAAATTTGTTGAGTACTGGCCATGTATAAAAGACTGGGAGTAAAGGGAGCTTACATTTTTTTTTTAAAGTAATATGAAAACAGGTGATGAATATACAGTGTGATTGCTATTCAAGTTGGGAGAATTTACATCTAGTACAAGAAGGAAGGAAATAATCATGAAAGGAATGACATTTATATTAGGTTAGGGAATGGAACCGAAAAGGCTGTGGAGGCCAGGCAGCTAATGTAATGAGTGAAGCCAAAGACATGTGTCCTGTAAATGGGTGCCTGTCCCCCTCCAAAAGATAACCCGACTCAGGTTCAACCCCTTGTTGCCATATAGAGATTCAGGCCCAGACTTACCAGCTCTTGACTTTCCAAGAGAAATCCAGATTTTAAAAGTCATAACCCTTCTTGTCAGTTTGCCACACTTGGACTAGAATTTTAAGAATATGAAGCCTCTGTGTGTATGGAGAGCATGGAGGGGGAAGTCCCAGCTGCATGATGGTATCGAAGCTGCAAAACACGGAAGAATGCCCAGCGAACAGCGAGCGGCTGCTTTATTAACAGTCCAGTTTTATCCAAGAGATGTGGGAGATAAGGCTGGGGCCTCCAGAAGAACCTTAAATATTACTTTAAGAGTGAAACAGTTTGAGACGAAATGCACAAAGGTTTTTAGAGTGTAGGTTGGAAGGTGATGAACCCACGAAGGGGAACAACCCCGTTGGTGAGAAGAAAAACTTCCCCGGAAGAGACCCAATTGACTAATTGGATCTACAGGGCTTCCGTTCCTGCCTCAGGCTTCAAATCTTCTCTCCTTCCATTCCCTGCCCCACACTGACAGCAACTCCAAACTGCTCTGTAGCTTTGCTTATCCTGCAAATACCTGCAGTACCTACTCTGAGAGGTAGACCACCCAGGATGTCAGCCTTGGACCTTCTTTAGATGCTCTTCCTTTAAACTGAATTGTAGTGATCCATGTTTCAATCTCTCTCATTCTTCCTCTCTCCTACTAGACTGTGAGCTCCTGGCTTACAGTAGTCAATCAAGTCAAAGTTTTAGTGAAGAATGGTAAGAGGGAAGTACAGAAAGAAGGTTAGAGAAGGAGGTAAGAAGTTAGTTCTGGAAAGTTGCTAGCCTACTTGTCAGCTATCATACCTACCTAGCTGAAGAGTCCCCCATAGAACTTTTCTTCCCCTATCTGCCATCCTTATCCCTCTTCTTCAAACCTTCTATCCTCTTGGAGGTCCTTGCTCATTGTGTAGTTCATTCTTTAGCCTGGCACAAAGTACACACTTATATTTGTTGAATGAATGAATGAATGAATGTGTATAAAATGGCATCAACCTTTAAGGAAAAAGATTCTTATGGTCTTAAGGGACCTGAAAGGCCACTTACTTCACCTTCCCCTAATTGGACGATTATTTTTTAATGACCCAAATTCTTCTTTTATGCTCTTTGGAGTTATAAAATACATATACATAGAGTCTATATCATTTTAGAAAACCACCATTTCCAACTTCTAAATGACCCAACACTCTGCGTTTTTCACCTTAAAGCCGGATCTGGAGCATTTTAAGGACTTTGCAGACTTTAACACACACACACACACACACACACACACACACTT